CTCGCCGGGCAGGGCGTCTCAGAGCAAAGAAGCGTGACGGCCGGCAGCTGTTGGATTGACAGCTGCCCCTGTTTGTCCATTGATCAGACCCTCACACCCTCTGCTCTCTCTCGACCCCTTTGCAGCCCCCCCCCCACCCTGTCGCTCAGCGGCCATCAACTCAAACACACTGTTCCGCAGAGTCTGCGGTTTATGCTGGTTTTTGAAACGTCAAAAACCAGACTGACTGCTGTGATTGTTTTTTAAAAATAATAAGATGTGGGTATTACTACATAAACAACACAAACAACACACAAAATAAGCATTTGGAACATTATCAACAGCTAAATAGATAAAATCAATCAAGTCTTTTTGTATATTTATAGCATTTCTCATGTAACATCTACAGTTCCTTGCAGTTTTTCATTTCTTTGGAGCAATAACAACCAGAATTGATGACACTTTATGGTAAATGTGTGAATTATTATATTTTCTTTATGACTAATGCTTAAGTTAGGCATCGCAGACTTGAAGTTAATTTCACAGTTAGTTTAGGTAGGGTTGAAGAATAGAGACAATAAAAACAAGAAACAAAAGTTTCGTCTGTTAAACGCTAATTTTGAAGTCTGAATTTTGTCCCTTTCTTCCTCATCAGAAAAACAGCACGGGATAAGGACCACGGGCGCCCTCTGGTGGTTTTGAACGGTGGAGCACGGCGGAAGTAGACAGCAGTCAGCTGATCAACCCGGAAGTGATGACGACACCAACGAATAGACCGTCCAAAACACGGAATAAGAAATACGGTAAACAGTGATTTTCACCGACCCCCTTCGAACATGGTGCGATGCTTTCTGATTCACACCGTGTGCCCAGTCAGCGCCCTGTCTGCCGGGGAATGTCGGGTGTTGTACTCCCGCTTTTTCGGTCCAGACGAAGCCATCCTGTCTGAGAGGCACCGGGAGCTCAGCCCGGAGGAGAGAAGACTACTACAGAAGGAGAAACTATTGGTCGTAGCAAGGTGGGTGCGACTTTTGGCTAAGCAGGGTTTGTGGTGAGGACCGTGAAACATCTTCTGGTAAATCAACGGTGCTAGAAATAGTTGTTTGTTTAACTCAATTGAACTAAACTGGAAGAAGGACTTCCTGTTGTTTCAGACTTGTATCTATGTCAGTACTGTTTTAAGACGCTTTAAGATCATTGTTTACCATCTAACTAAGCATGGATCCATTAATGAGTTGACCTAGAGAGGGGAATCAGGGGACTCCTGGATAAAAACGACACAAATGCAAGTAGCCAGAAAGTCTCCTTAAGCTAAGACTGTGTCTAACTTGTTTGGTCCTAAAAGCCATAACATGACTTAGGGCCTTTGGTGTCAAAACAACCAAAACGTGACCATTTGGAGCTTTCTGAGCAGTTTCTGCTTCTGCAGTCACAGAAAACCTTCCCTGTTGAGTAAGGCACTGTCTATGTCCTGGTGTCCACCCGTCTATGTCTTGGTGTACACCAGGAGATAGACGGGTGGAGGATGTGCCTGCAAATCCCAGCATAATATACTGCTCCAAATGGAGGAGTGCTCAGTATTTTGTATCTGACACCAAGTATTCATACAGTCATCTGCACTGTTGAACTATTGGAAGATGTGTCACTTTTTTTTTTGCCTTATGTCCTGTTGCACACCTGTCTGTGTACGTAGTGTACATACCAAGAGGGGAATCAAGTCCTCAACCGAGAACACAAACATGGCAACACTTTGGACTGTCACACAACATTCAAGATATAAGGCCTCTAAAGTTACCACAAAGGTAATTTAGAGAGGAGACACAGACGAAAAATCTGAATATTTTAATTAAATGGGGCTGATTTTATTAACTCCTGACTTTATTGGCCTATGCAGCTTTTTTGGGGGGGTTGAATTTAGCTGCACTTGCACACATTCACTGTTTGTTTTATTAAGTAATGTCAAATCACTTATGGGGATCCACTCACTTTGTGTTGATAAATGGAACTGAAAGTTGTCGCCTGGCTGTAAAAACAGATGTTCTGATATCATTTATGCTGCCGAAGCCTGTCATTGCACTTTTCTTCCAAACTCTGGGTTTTTATTTTTTCCAGAATCTCTCCCCCGTCTTCCTCTGCTTTTTTTTTTTTTGCACGCGCCCTTCTCTCTCCTCGTTATAGACACCCGGGCTGCTCCAGCTCCATCCCGCCGTGAGCCAACGCCGGCGTCTTCCCGGGGCGTTTTAGCTCGGGTTGAAATGGCTTCTGCCTCACCTCACGGAGCCCTTTGAACAGAGTTAATTAGAAGATAAGACCTCGGGGGAAGAGAAAAAAAAAAAAAAAGCCCAATTGCTTTATTTTTAGTGCTTTATTTTTTTTGGGATAATCCAAAAGAAAAACAGCGACCTGCTAATTTTCGGAGGCGCGCCGGCTGAGAATCACTGAGGCGGCAGCGGAGGCTGTCAGTCATCTCCTCACTCGTCTCATTTCTTTCCAGTTGGTGTTGCCGTGTTTATTTTTTTTTGTCGTTGTTGTTTTGGCAGAAAGAATTGCTTGCTCCCTTTTTATTACCGTTTTGCTGCAACATGCCAAAGTAATGACGGGTAAAACTCCGCAACACACAAGGGAAGCTGTTATCTTCTTCCAGAATGAAGGATAAATGTTTTTTATTTATTCATTTTTTTGCAGAAAAACTTGTGCTAAAACTTTTAAGTGGGCCAATACAGCAGGTTAAATAGTGATTGATTTGCTTGTGTGACTCAGGAAGGTTCTGAGTGCCGTCTCTCTGTCCCGGGAGGCCTCGGGCCGGCTGCTGGTTGACCACGGCCCCGGGGAGGAGGCCCTGGCCCTGCAGGACGCCGACAGCGGGGTGGTGCGGCTGACGTCCGGGCGCCCTTTCTCCGACGAGGCCAGCGCCCTGTGGCTGGGTGTGCAGAGTCTGGGCTTCGCGCTGGTCTGCGAGCCGCACGAGAACCTGCTGCTGGCCGAGGCCACCCTCAGGAACCTGACCCGCCACTGCCTGGAGGACCTGCACATGCTGGGGCAGGGCAGCGAGGTGAGCCAAATCTTTATTTTGGAACTAGGCGCAAGGCACCAGTTTGGTTAAAACTTCACATATCGGACTAAAATAACATAAATTGAGCAGTCGTAGACCTGAACTTTCCTGGGTCTGAGGTGGTTCAAATAAAGGAAAGCCGTCATTATTCACCAAATGGGTTTAAGTGGGAAAAGGAAGGCTTTGAAGCAGCATAACAGCAGGGAAGTAATCGTTGGGTCTGTTAAATCTAAAAAAAAATCAAAATGTGGAACCGTGCCTGGGATGAGAGACTTTGCAGCGTATCACAGAGAGGAAGAGTTAGAAGTCATCCTCACTGCAGGTAAACCAGTTAGGCAGAATATGTAATGGGGGGTGTGTAATTTGCTTGAATGAGATCCCCTTTGAAAAAAGAACCTGTGCAGTCTGGGTGCCGCTCACATCTCAGTGGGTAGCATCCCCACAGTGAAGCATGGAGGTGTTGGCACCATCATAAGGGCTTCGCTGCTCTGATTGACAGTGAATTGGAGCGTGACGATAAAGGCACTCTTTTAAATGTTTTGGTGACTTCTGAGAAGTTGTTCAATCGTATTGCCTGTATTTTTTTAAATTTTTTTGGTCTCTCTCCAGGATTGGATTTGACTTTTTACTAAGTACTTATTATTGGATTGTTAAAAAAGCCACCCCTGTCGTGTTTTTCCCCCCCCAGGTCCTCTTGAAGAGCAGCCGTGTGGACGTCCTGCTCAGCCGCCTGCTTCCTCACGGTCAGCTCCTCTTCCTGAACCACCGCTTCGCCCAGAGTCTGGAGAAGGAAGTGGTGGCCCACATGAGCAAGTGAACCGGAGCGACCTCAGCCGCCGTCTCTCACCCCACGGTGCGGGGTCGATAGCCGTAAGCTCATGTGGGGGAAATGCCCCCCCGTCAGCCACCGTCGGCTGTTTGTCGCGTGGGCGGCTTCACTCCCGATCGCGTTTGTCAAATCGACGTGTGAAAGGGAAAATGTGGCAGATTGAAGCGAGCAACTGAAGGCCCTCACACGTCAGGATCAGAGCCTGTCCTTTACCTGAATCGCCACGCTTGAATTGTGACAGCGTGGCCTCGAGTACTCGAATTGACTGGTTGTTTTTAGTTTTTTTTTGTCTGTTGTCTTGTGTTTTTAGAGAGTTAAAGGATTTCACAGACCGCCATTGCTTTCCAACGGAGCCGAGTCATGTTTCTAATGACAAAGAGCAGCAACGGAACAAAGAGGGATCAAAAGTCCCACCGGCTTTGCGTCGACTGAAGCAGAAACGTGGCTGTACACCGGCGGGACGGTGAACATAAAGCCGTAATGAAGGAACGCACAGATGCCGGCATTCAGAATGCAGAAGCGAAACATGAAGTAATGACGAAAAAACGGCGACGGCGCAGACGTCCCCACACCCCTTAACAACAGGAAAAAAAGGATTCTTGTTTATCTTGTGAACATCTGTTGTTCTAACACTGCCCCCCCTCCCGCTTTTTGGTTTTGTTTTACAGCCGCGATGTTTGGAAGCAGAGGGGAGTCGTTCTGAATGTGAGCATCAGTTGCTTTATTGTTGAATTTCCCTGCATTAAAGGAAGAGACATATCATGTGAGTGTTCTTTGATTTTTTTTGTACACAAACAGAATTCAAATATGGAAAGAAAAAGAGGACATTTTTAATTTCGTTTGTTGGATACAGCAAAAAAAAAAAAGAATTATTGGCCTAAAGACAGCCAATTAGGACTTTTTCAACCTATAAAAGGATTGTATCCAGTGTCTTCCATATTACTTTGACTATATTGTAAAAAATAGTTTTGGGAACAGATACTTGAGGCTCTCAATCATAGTTCTAATTGTGCTTTTTGCTCGCTTAGTTTTTACTCTGTTAAAACAGTCAGTGGCCGAATGTCAACTGTAAATCTCGGGTCAAACTTTCAGGTCATTGTGTCTTGCCTGTGGCCTTTGGGACGTCTTATCTCGAGGGCTGCTGAAAGCGGGGAGATTCAGTTCTGCTGACGGCATTACGACGTCAGAAAACCCCTTCTCACCCGATAGTTCCACTCCTCTTTCTCCTCCCCACTGGAAAAGGTTCCGACTTCTCCAGCTGACCGCTTTGTGCGGCGCGCGGAGACGTTCGCACAATCGTCTCATGCCCCCTCGAGAAAATACTTTTTCATTGGAAATGAAACATTTCAAGCACCCTGGAAAAGAATTGGACTTTAAACCTGCTCATAAGTCTTCAGCCGACCTTTATTTCTTAAATACTTTTCTGGGGAAAAGGGAAATCCTGCGCAAACATAAAAGGAAATGTGGCCTATAAAGCAAAAACAGAGTCAGTGCAACTTTAACGAGGCTAAAAGTAATTTTTTCCCCTCTCCACAGAGTCTTAACCCCCTCATTTCTTGAAGTAGCCTTCAGAAAAATAGTTATGCGAGCATCTTGATGGACATTCTTTGGAAGTGTGACTTTGCTCCACGCTGGGTTGAGATGATCCCACACGGCTTCGGTCCTTGCTGGGTTTCAGTCCACTTCTTGTGCAATTTGGCATACCTCAGCCTTTTGTCCTTAAGAAACGACTTCTCAGCGGCCACTCATCCACAGAGACCCTTTCAGAGGCTTCACAAAGTAGAAGCAGAGTGGGAATATTTGGAAATATATTCAGTTGCAGCTATAGAGATGGGATCAGATGGGATAAGCAGGCCACACGCTTTACAGCTGGCTCTTTGCAAAGTTCTCTGGCTCCTCTCTTACATAAGTTGTCTTTCTTTTTTTAATCAAACAAAAGACTACCTTCAACAGAAAACGGTCTGGTACACAGACTGATGGGAGACTGTCAAAAGGAAAACCTTGAAAGACCCTCAGAATCTTTTTAGAATTATTGCTCAAGATCACTTTGAAAGACTACAAGAAAGCCTGGTTTCTCGGAAGTTAAACATAAAAAAACGAAGGGCATAGTTAGCATGAAATCATTAATAAGGAAAATATCCTTTTAGTGCGTTTATCTAAAAGAGAAAAAACGTTCAAACGTGCGGGTCGCTCTGATGTGTTAGACATGAAACATAACGCAGGGGGAGCGAGGAAGTCTGTTTACAGATGGAGTATGTTTAAGTCAGGAGCAATAAATATTCATTTCGCATCAGCGAATCTGTATCAAGAAGAGTAGCTCAGTCTTATCTTAAATAAGAATAAACAAAAGCAGCCTCGTCCAAAGACGTTTGGGCTTAACTCAAGTGCCCAGCTCACCTCACTTCACCCGCCAACATCAGTGACTGAACAAATGAATAAATCAGTAAAGACAGTTCTCCTGTGGCCTATCTAAGAAGCCAAAACTACATTTATTGCAAAAGACTTCCCCAAGCTGGGATGTCACCTGCCCCCCCCCTGACTTATGACTCTAAACTAAAGAGAATTAAAGCTAGATTACAGACCTCTGTAAACAATTTATGTTGATTTTTCTTGAATGAAAGAACATTGCCCTGCATAGTTATGGGTATCATGCAGTTCTTTATGTTCCATAAGCACGCTTCAGGTTATTAAAAATGCCCGCATAATTTCTGAGTCGTGAGACATTTAGCGGTGTTAAACTGACTCATTTGCATTTGCATTTTCATCCAGTCGCATGAATTATAACTCCCCCCCCCCCCCCCCCACAAAACGCGTGCAGTTACAGAGCCTGCGCCACCAGGGGGCAGCATGCAGCCGGACACGGCCAGAGCTGCCTGTTTGGAGACAAAAAATATTGACACCAGAGCAGAAATCCAGGGTGCTGCAAATAAAAAATAAAAAAATCCTGAACGCCACCGCCTTGAAATGATTTAAAAAAAGAAAAAAAAAATGAGACGGGGGACGTCAAACAAGCGGCACTCGGAATGTTCTCACGCGCCGGTTTGTAGCCACATCCTGGAGAGGGATGCGCAGAGACAGGGAGTTGATCTAAAAATGCACCAGTTAATGTCAAGTGGAGATGAAGCTGCAGTGCTGCGCTTCACGTGTGTGTGTGGAAGATGTGCCATCACCAGCTGTGGTGGTGAGGCCCAGTCCCCCGTTTCATTACCGCACTGTCTGCTAGGCAGGATTATTAATAAGAGCCCCTTAAACTTCACGGCGTTCGTGTAATCAGGTATAATGATGAGATGAGGCATCAGAAAGTAATTAAAAAAAGGAAAAAAGAAGAAGTTGTGTTGAATTGTGCAAGCAGTTGGGGAAAAATACAGGGATTGGAGGAAAATGCTGCACAGGTGCTTTTTTTTTTTTTTGCAGAACAGGGCACTCTGAGGTTAAAGGGGCAGGATTTAATGGAGGGGAGGTTAAAAAACAAAGCCTGAGAAAAGTTGTTTTTTTCCCTTCTGGCAACACACAGCAGATAAATAGCTCAAGGCGCGGTAGCTTGTTGGTGAAACCAGCAGCTTTGGGTATGTGCTTAAATTGGATCCGAGCACTCAACGGCACTCACAGGGGGAGCAAATTGAGGGCCATTAACCGGAGAGTACGCGAAAAATAATTTTAAAAAAGGAGAAAAAATTAACCAACCCCCCAAAGTAAAAAAAAACACAATAGTTTTGCACTGTTTTCAAACTTTGCACATCATTTTGCGTTGTAAAAAAACCAAACAGATGGCCGTGGTTATGCCTTTTTTTTTCTTTTTTTTTTCGAGGAGCTCATAGGTCAAGCCTCACTCGCTTCGGCAGAGCCCACAGATCAAAGGCTAAATCTGGAAAAACTGCTCGGTACACTGGCTTCCGTGTGAAGCAGACTCGGTGGAGGAGAAAAGGCCCTCGGGGGCATCTCCTACTAAATGTTACTGAGTCTCCTCCACAGCTGTGAGCCGTCTCGCCGAACCCCCCCCCCCCCCCCCCCCCCCCCCCACCACCTCCCTCCCTTTTACTTATCCCCTCTCGCCTTTTTCTTCCTCTGGAGATGAGCTGCCCTAATATTCAGTCATCATCCATGGTGGCCTACCCGACCAAAGCTGACATTGTCACAACCCATCTCACTCACCCGCTCCTTCTCTCCTTTCTCCTGCATTTATTTCACCCCCCCCCTCCCACACACCCACCCATCAAGCTTCCAACAAAAGACTTTCCTATTCAATTTGAGGCCAACCGGTGAGTATGCCAACTTGCCCTTAATATTTTTTCTTCTTCTCCCGCCTCATTAGATGTCTCCATGACTATTGTATGGCTCCTCGGCGACAGCCACGGTGGAGAAAAATGGGCTCAGCACCAGCCAAGGGATACAATATGAATTTCAATGGCAGTTGACGACTTATTCACTTCAGGCCCCGTCAGGGCGTGCGGCGTGAAAGACCCCGAACGCCACGGCTCCCATTCAAATACATTAGGAGTCGTTTTCTGTTTCGCTTTCACGAGCGCGTCTCTAGAATGTGAAATATTCCTCTTCTTTCTGGGGCCGGGGGCTAAGGGGGGACTATCTATTGGAGGAGAGCTCGGCTAAAACAAGCTGAACGCCAGTCAAATCGAGAGCCACAAAAGATCTACAGGATGTGTCATTTTCCTTTTTAAAAAAAAATCTTAACCTACTTGTAAAAGAGGAAGATTTGGGGAAGAGCTGTATGGTATTGTAATGCTATGATTCGTGTCATAATTCTGACCTCTAAACTTTATACTGAGCAACACAGAGTCCAATTCCAGCAAAGTTGTCGAATTAACCATAAGGTACAATAACGTTCTGTTTGTAAATTGTTTGTAAGACTTTACTGACAGCAAGGCTAAAATAAAATGATGTTCACTGATAATCTTGATTGAATTTAGTAAATAAGATGGATAAAAATGGGATGACAGTAACTCAACCAAAGAAGTTTTTGCTTTTACGGT